AGAATGCGTAATTTGCTATAAAACAAGTATAAAAAAATAATTTTTTTCGTGCATATTTTCCGTAAAATATATTTGAATTTATAAAGGCAGTCAAAATCAATGATAAAAAGACATACTACTTAAGTAGTCATTTTTTTACAAAAGATACGTTTTGCTTAGAGTCGGAACGAAGCTCGTTAAAAAGCCAGCTTCTTATCCTGACTAAAATGATTTCAGAATACACTACACAGTAATCAGTATCACAAATGGAGTCAGTTCCGATTAGCGAAAGAGTATTAGTCTTTCGCATATGTCGAAATATTGCATGATCAACGGCGTCTACTGTACATGGACTCTGGCTGCTTGATAGGTATTTAATACAGCTTCACTCAGGCACCTTCTGAGAAGTTGACATAGTGCGTTCCCTTGAACTGGGAGCCTTAAGGCAATTTTTTTCTTAGCTTTTAGCACCGGGGCACTTCGTGGTCATAAAGGCGCCGTAATTACCATGGCTGAAAATCACAAATTCGAGCGCCTCCAGCTTGTCAACTTTCCCGACTACCAGTCCCCTCCTATCGCGCTGATCAGATTGTTATTCCAATTATCTTCTCTTTCACCGACCCTGCCAACTGCTCTTTTTCTCTACCAACCCACGTATTTTTTAGTTTATAACGATTTAAATGAACAGGCATGAAGATAATATATCCAAAACAGACACATGCTTGGCAATTTATTTGTAGATATTGAAGTGTTGCACCGTGTCGCGCTCGTCCGATTCGGGCTGCTCGACTTTGTTTAAGCCGACCTAAGTGATTATGTCTTGACTTGCTGTATCTGTTATTCAACGTGGTCGTCTTGTCCTGAGCTCTGTGTACGGAAGACATTAGACACTGCAGGATGATCAAGGGGCATGCCTATAGATTTTGTATCGGAATACTGTACCTCAATTGTTAGTCTTAACATCTTTCGGTTGCTCCGGTAACTCTCTAAGAATCGAAAGTATCGTAAATTGCTACAACGTGCGTTGCAAGATCAGAGTTTGCTTCGAGTCTCTTAGGTGGGGACTTGTTCTCTGATGGGTGAATCAGTAACTCATGTCCAGTTTAGTAAGCAACCGATCGATTTAGACGGCGACGTATTGTTGATTTGAGTCAGTAGGCTAAGGCCACTTTCGTTGATTAACGTTCACCGATCAATAATCGAACACACTTGTCCCTCTCGACTTTAGGTCTCGTTCTCGAGCCCCACCAGCAGCTTGTAGGCTACGCAGATAGCATTGGCTCAATGGTTAGAGTCTCAGACTTCTGCTCGAAAGTTTGCGGGTTCGAGGCTCGGATGGGGCATCACTTCGATCGAGTATGACTGGCTGAAGACAGCTAATGAACTAGAAATGGCCAACCGCAATCGGCTTTGCTTTTGCTGGCAATATTATCAGTCTCAGTTTTGGGAATCAGGATTTATGAGCTAACAATAATACGTTCAGTAATTGGCAAAACATTCCTTTGCACTGTAAACCATCTGCTGTTTTTCGCTGTCAAGAGGAATCATCTAGACCAGCTGCACAGAAACCTAGCCGTGCGTCTCCAGTAATTAAATTTCCTTTCAAGACAAAGATTGATAGACAACCCCAATTCCTCGACTTTCTTGTACATCGAAATACCGATGGAGCATTCCGTACATCAGTTTATCGCAAAGAAACCTATTCTGGGAACCTCCTACACTATTTGTCAAAACAGAGTGGGTAATAATCTGGATTAGCGTGCTATGTAAATGCTTTCCACTCAACCAATTCTATCACATTGTGTGGAAGGTGTTTTTTGTTAATGCCACGACTTTATTGTTGTCTCATGCCAATTTCACCAAAATAGCATTAGAGTAAGACAAGCCCACAGGAGGGGGCTTAATGTATGGATAAATAGGAAGAGAGACGATGCCAAGAGACAGAGAGAGGGAGATGTTTCTTTGCTCATGCACGTAACCTAATAGTGACGCGGGTGGGGGAGGGGCGCAGTGCCGGAAGCAGGCAGTAGCAACTCTCCTTGTCTAGGAGTCGAGCGTTAGTTATCTCCTCGCAGAGGCAGACTGGGGTACCCCGACTTTAATGTTTGTTCCGTCCAAGGCGTGATCTGAAACAGACAGCATAAATGAGAATCAATGTCGCGCTCGCGCTGAGGCATTATGCATAAACGGAAGCTTATTATTTCCCGCTGACTCCCGTGGGGAAAACGTCCGATTTCTTGGCCAAAAAACACAAGCTGGTTAAAACTGTTTAGCGGGCAATACTTCTCACTGCTCCTCCTCACAGGAAATGGAAGAAAAGCTCATTGTTTCGTCTTATAAAAAGGTATCTATTTTACTGGAACGGAAGTATGAGAGATATTTTTGAATGTGTGTTCTGATTTCCGAAAGATGTTCCAACATCCCACAGTGAGAAGTCATCCAAGTACAAATATTATTCATTGCATAGGACTGGTGACTTCATGACTTAACATATTCAACTTTACGTTAAAGAAGGATACAAAGTCAAATGCTTTACCTACCCTATGTGGGCGCCGTGGCTAACAGGGGATCGCGCCTGCACACACCGCAGCACTACCCGGAGCCCTTGATTCACACAACCAGGTATCAGTCACGCACAATATAAATCTGGTCGCTAACTCCAACGTTACTTCTATCCACAGCTGATCACTAAATGTAATACGAACGCAGAATTCACAACAATTGGATGTAAATTAGCTCCTATTACAGGTTCTTCCAGTTCTCATCTCCTGCTGTGCGATCGGTAACAAAAAGCCCTTAAGACGGATAACATTGCCGGCAAAGACAGGGGAGACTGGAATGGCCACTGCTGGCTTATTAGCGTTCGGCAACTAGTCATACCCAGACTCAAGTGGTACCACACTCCAGCCCCAATCTCGAGAAACCCAAGTTAGAGCGGGTTTAAAAAAGCCCTTTAAAAGTAGTTTCTGGTGTTCTTTTTCTGCCAGCCCAGTCGACGCTTCTTGGTGAGGGTCATGAGTCCTACTGTGTGCTGTGTTCTCACAGTTCATAAATCCCTACCGATTCGGCTCGTTAGGCCCGTTTGCATAAATTGTACTGGGATGTGCTGTTCAGTGTAGGAATTCGCGTACATTATCACGCCCAAGTCCGCCACGTGTGATGAGAATTCAGTAGATAAGGGTCCGAAATTAACAATTAACGCACAAGCAGGCAAATATCCTCGATAGGCTAGCCGTTAATTTTCAGAGGTATCTAGTAGCCTAGGGCCTGTATCCAATGAATACTGCAAATTTGTGTATGAATTATCCGTTTCTGCTATTTCCTCTGATGAATTTGTAACGTAAGGCTAATAAAATTCCTATCCCAGCTATCATTACGGCTTCTATTCAAATTGTTTGCGCTCGTTTGATCATCTGTGATGTGTATCTCTCTGTGTTTTCCCATGCGCATCAATCGCTTAAGCACAAAGATGCCGTTGACATGTCTAACTTGCATGTGTTTGCTGAAGGTACATTTTTCTATAGATAATATGTTATGTCCTCCGTAGCTTAAATACAATTAATCCTTTAAGGAATAAGGGAATGTGGCTCTGGGGCCGTACCCTATGGGTCGTGAAAGCTATTTGAGAAGAAAGGATGTAAGCGCTTGAGGTCTCCACAATAGACTTTTCTTATTGGGGTCTTCTCTCTGGGATATCAAAAATTCCAGTGCGTGGTGCAGTGGGTTAGAGCGACGGATTTATGATAAACGGGTCGCGGGTTTGTGCCTCAAGTTTTCACCATCTGGGGTTGGTTATGGATGGCTGATGACAGAAGTGGTCATTCTGCAATCCGCTGTCTTTTTTGGCAATATTAGTTCGCCTACGAAAAGTGACTGTTGGCACGGTAGGCTTCATCGGGTATGATGTCTAAGTCTTTCACAATATAAACGTCAAATACGATGCCGATGCGCAAATTATGCTGACGACATCCAAACCCCAAGATCGCCCTGATTCTCCACTCCGTCAAGGAAACAAGCCTACCAGCAAGGGCCAATCTTCGGTTTGAACGGTTGTCCAACAGACAACAGAGACTTTGACGAAAAGATAGACAGTGTCCTATGTGTGCCTTAAAATTGCCGCTAATGGCACCCAGATCTGCCCCGCGAGCGACGATTGCACTCGAAACCAAAACAAAAAACCAGCGCCCGCAATACTAACACGATTATTAGGTCCCCAACCCCGTCGGACTGGCAAGCCTACTAGCGACAGCGAATCTTCGGTATAAATGGTTGTCCGATAAACTGAACCGGCCGACCGATTCCATCTTAAGACCTGACGAAGAGATAGGCGCGTGGCTCATGTTGTCTTCACTCTGCCGGACCTTTCTCCCACGTGCAAATAGCCACTCCAACCCGCAGACAAAGCTACACAGCAACACACAACTTCAAGCATACAACTGGTGTGCAGACATAGCTGGCAGCTGGCTCGTCACACAGCCATTGTATAGTTCATCTTCTTGTGGAAAAGCTGTTCCTACCAACTGTGTCTTACCTGACTTTTGCTTTGGGGACACTTATTCCTGTGTTCTACCACTTACGACATGTGCCCTCAAATTATGTGACCCAGATCCGCTCCGCGAGAGAAGATTGCATTCATTAACACAAAAACCCAGCGCAAACGAGCCTAATACAATAATTAGGCCACGCTCAGAGCTCATTACGTTTATCACCCAAACAATTAGGCTGGAATCGCGTCCAATGAGTTGGGTCGTTAAGGCGTAAATGTGTGAACAGTTACCCAACCAAATCTCCTCAGCCTTTCAAAGTACACAATTATCTTCAAATGGAAGCTCTTATTAGGGAGGATCGTTTGCCTCCTCGCCTAGCTGACGCATGTCCTTTTCAGCCTGTTCCATAGCCATTAATTAGGACTTCGAAATGAAGTACGGGAGTTGACTGCGTTAGTACTCCACCTCAGCATTCTAGTTTTGATCTTTAACGGACAAGAAGACTCAGCCTCGTTTTTTTTACTGCAAGTTCTCTCACCTGATTTCACCAGCCATTAGTGGATTGAAAGCATAGAGCCATTCATGCACATCTGCACCCGCTTCTGGTGTCTTTACGTAAACTTTGCGTTGTGAGGTTGTGAGGAGAAATATGGCAGCATTGTCCTCGGTCGAGTGTTCTGAATCATTCTTTGCCGCGGAGTAGAACTCCCCGGCCAAGTGTTCTACCACAGGCGCGGGACTGGGAAAATGAGAATAAACTATTAAGAAATAAATAAGAATAAATAAGTGGTTAGTAGACA